CCAGGACCCGGGCGGGCGGGGCTAGGGCTCTCTGACATCCAGGCTGCACTGGACTCTCCACCGCCCGAGGTTTGGGGGGGTTTGAATCTCCAGGCGCGGGGACAGTGATTCAGAACTTCCTGCAGGAGCTGTCAGACTCTGGACGTCGCTGCCCAGAGCCTTGCAGTGACGCTGTGACGACGGTCGGTTCACAGCTCCTGAGGAAATACTGATCTGGCAAAGGGAAGTTTGCTTCGCCTTTGTTTTTGTTTTTGTTTTTGTTTTTGTTTTCGCCTGGAGAGCCCTCTGCCAACTCCGGAGGTAGGCCTCCGGTCCCAATCGCGGCCACGGGAGCGGCTTTTTTCTTTTTTTTTTTCTATGGACTGGGAGAGAGCGAGCGAAAGCACCCCCCAGGGAGGATGACGACCCCACACTTGAGCCGAAGTAGACATTACAGAGCTCGTTGCTCCGCTGCTGAGCTCAGTACCCAGTGCTAAGTCAACTTTGGCCTCCGGAATCGGGTCTCACCAGGCGCTTTGCAGTGGCATTTACTTGCCCACTCCCAGCCCCCTCTCCAGAAGGCAGTAAGAACTTCCAGGAGTGTCTCACTGAGTATGAGGTGAGCCTCTGCCGTGGCCTTCAACAGCTGGAATTCAGGGGATCCGTGAGCATGAGGAAAACGACTTTTAAAAATATTGTAGTAGTATTTATGGGACATGACTAGAAATCGCGTAAATATTATAGTTGGGTGGATTGATATATCAATCGTTTACATGAAATGGTGTTTGCCACGAACACGAGTCAAAAGTCTGCAAGCGCTCATGAAAACACGAGGTCGATGGTGTGTTGTGCTGTGTGCTCCCTCCTTTTCGGGACAGGTGTGAGAATGCACACTCTACATTATGCAGGCGGCAGCAGGTCTCTAGTTCCACTAGTAAAGCCAGTGCCACATATTTGGGGAACAAAAATTTAAGATTCTGAATTAGTGAAGAGGACTAAGTTAAATTTCAAGCTCACAATGATCTCAGAGGACGGACTTGACGTTGGGGGTGGATGTTCACAACGTGCATTGCTTCCTACAGCTGCGAACTGATGACTTAAAATAGTAGGAGTTTTGAGTTGGCCCTTTGGCCTAGTGGTTAATGGAACCATATCCCACATGGGCGACTGTCGTTGGAGTCCTAGCCCCAATGGCTTGAAAAACACCCCCGTGCACATATGTGCACACCTCAAATCTCAGCAGGATGGTGAGATGGAGAAGGGCTTGCTGCAGGACCACTTCAGTCTCTGTGTCCGTGGCAAGCACACTCACCCTTTGGCAATTTTAATATAAGAACATTAATAAAGTGGGAATTTATTCTGTCACAGTTCTGGAAGCTCAGTCTGCACTCCAGCTGCCATTGATGCTGGGCTTTCTCCGAAGGCTCTGAGGAAGACATCTGCCCCATCCTAGTGTCTGGTGACGATGGCAGTCCTTGGCATTCCTTGGCTTGGCCCCAAATCTGTGCCTCTGTTGTCACATGACTTTCATCTTTCATCTTTATGGCTCTGTGTCCTGTACCCAAATGTCTCCCTCTTTTCTCTTTTTCTTTTACTTTTGGAAAGGTTTTTGCTGTAGGGTGCGTGTGCTCGCCGGAAAGAGAGATAGAAAGCGAGAAATCACCCCCCAGAGGGGGATGGCCACGCCGCAATCCCTTCTCCTCCATTCTCCTCTCGGGATCTTGGGTACGCATGCACATGCGCTCGGTGTGAGTTTAAGCCACTGGGACTTGAACCGCGGTCGACTACTTGGGAGTCCAGCGACATAGCCATTACACTAACTGCTGGTCCCCCTCCTTTCTCTTAAGACACCAGTCATGGGATTTGGAGCCTCCCTAGTCCAGGATGACCACATCTTAACTTGATTACTTCTACAAAGACCCTATTTCCAAATAGGGTCATATCCATTGGTACCTGGGGGGTAGGACTTGAACTCATCTTTTTTTTTTTTTTGAGTCTGCAGTTCAGTGCAATGCAGCACATGAAACTGCAGAAGCCCTGACTTTCATCCTTTGGGCTCACCAGCTACCCTTCCTGCCTTCCTGCTTCACTGGCCAAGATTTTCTCTACACTCTATTCTAAACTGCTTCCAGGAATGTTTCTTAGAAATTCAGACATCCTGTGCCCAGCAGGTGGCATGGTGGTTACGGCACTGGACTCCTACATGGTCTACCCCAGTTCGAGTCCTAAACCTGGCATCTTGAAAATCACACTAGACATGAGTGCATGCATGCCCAGGATCCCAGAGGAGAATGGAGAGGAAGGGATTGCGATGTGGCCATCCCCCTGGAGGGTGATTTCCAATTTTTCCTAGTACCGTCTCTCTGTCTGTCTCCCATAAGTACGCAAGCCCTGTGGCAAAAACCTTAAAATATAAAAACAAGAACAAAAGAAAAAGAAATTCGTCCTCCATCCTAAGCTGTCAGGAGGCATTTGGCATTATTAGGCTATGAAGAAAGAAATGCCTAAATGAGGGTTCTCAGGCATCAGTATTGTGGCAAAGGCCAGTCGTGTTTGTCACTAAACCTTTGAAGTCACATGAATCTCCTTTCTCATACAGCTGCGTGTCGGCAGTGGCAGCATGCAGAGGATTCTGAGCTCGGGATCTTCACGGTGTGTACACTGACAGTGAGAAGTCACAGTGTGTGAAGTGTGATGGGGATTCACAAACAGACTCACACACCGGAGCTGCAAACTCGAAGACCCTCATTGTGAGTAGAATAGGAGTGAATTGTACTTCTTTAGGGTACAACTTGTTTCAGGCCATGAAGCCCCCCCCCCCCAACATGCTTAGAAACACACAGATCACAGCTCTGAGCTATGGGAACCAAGAGGGCACGGCCAAAACCAGACTGGAGCTGGAGTCCTGGCTTCTCCTTAAATTGTCCGGCTAACTTCTGCCAAGTAATAGTTTAAGCTTCAGCTCCTCCACCTGCACAATAAACATAGCATGTATTATAACCTATATAGTAGCTTTGGGTAGTGTTTTATATTATGCATGTTGTACATGATGTGTTTTCAAAATATGTTATATACACAACAACAATACAGATGTGTCATTATGGCAGCCCTATCAGAGTCCCAGCAACCAAGGGCGATAACAAATGCAATGTACGTCCTTACAGGACGTACATGCATGCACCGTTGATCACGAGGGCATGCGTTTATCACTGCTGCACCTCCCTATTGATGGGGGGATTAATTTCACCTCCCTTGAAACACTTACATGTTCGGTCTTGTGCTTGCACAATTAGCACATCTTAATGAGGGAGCACTCACTTAGCAAGTGTAAGTGGCTACAAAAGGAAAAGAAGATACACTCTTCACTGACATAAAGCTAGGAAGAACGACCGCTTGTATCATGGCCAGGACAGAAGCTGTTTGTACCACAGATGTTATCACCCAGGGTGAACCCAACACAAGCGGGCAGAAAAAAAAAAAGCAAACACAAAAAACAAAAAAACCCAGCATCTTCCTCGTACAGGAAACTCAGAGTCTTACTCCTTTGGCTATGATGACACATTGAAATAGAGACACAATAAACTTAAAAGGAGAATGTCACTGGTCTCGCAGATACTAGCGTCTTTCTGTCAGTTCAAATGAATATTTACGTACTACCATCACCATTTTCAGAGTTCATGGAACACCAAGAAGTGTATGGCCCTACGTGAGGGAGAGTCCAAGAAGTTTTCCCACAGATGTCAGCCTCGGACGGGAAGAGACCACAGTACTGCAGATTCTGCCTGGGGGGTTAGCTCTTCCACTGTGGAATCCAGCCTACCTTCAGATCTGAAGCCAGGGCTTGATCACGTCCTTTACAAAAGATGATTCACTCCTGTTCTGCCTGGGTGGCTGCGTGACCCTGAACCAGCTATGTAATGGGTCCTAGTGTCTTTTTCCTTCTGTGAAATGGGATGTAATGTCCACCTTATAATGGTATCGTCAGGGTCGGATAATATTCGTGGAACAATTACCATATTGTCAGATGCTCAGGAAACCTTCATTTATGTTGGTTATTATTATATTTTTGTTTCTTAGAGAAAAAACTTGATGAAGAAGATAGCTTATTTCCCCCCCCCCTCATGGTGCATGTGCTTACTGGAGAGAGACTGTAAAAAGGAAAAAGAGAAATCACCCACCAGGGGGATGGCCACGTCACAATCCCTTCTCCTCCATTTTCCTCCTGGGACCTTGGGCACACATGCACACACACCCAGTGTGAGCGGTCTGGGACTTGAACTGTGGTCTACCATGTAGGAGTCCAATACCTTAACCACCATGCTACCTACTGGCTTAAGATAGCATTCAGTGAGTGTTGGATAAGATACTGTAAAATGATCAGAAAAAAAAACAGATGGATGGGTAAGAATAAGACTAAAGACATGAAGTCAGACTTTAATATAGGGGCTGTAGCAAAAAATGTTTGCATGTAGAATTTTATGTTATAACAGCTAATGAAAAAAGAAACCCATGAGTGGCACCAGCAGTTAGCATAATGGCTATGTTGCGGACTCCCACGTAGTTGACTGCAGTTTGCATCCCAGACCCGGTGGCTTAAAACTCATGCTGGGTGTGTGTGCGTGCGTGTCTAAGATCCCAAGAGGAGAATGGAGGAGAAGGGATTGCGGCGTGGCCATCCCCCTTGGGGGGTGATTTCTCACTTTCTATCTCTCTATCTCTCTCTGTCTTTCTGGCGAGCGCACTCGCCCAATAAGAAAAACCTTTCCAAAAAAAAAAAGAAACTCATGAGTTGTTTCCAGATGCCCAATAGCTGGTTTTTTTTTTTTTTTGACTCATATCATGAAAACACTCTAAAGCACATTTATAGCACTTAAAATATATTTCATAAATAAGAACAGTATTTTGGGGGCCAGCAGTTAGCATAACAGCTATGTCACTGGACTCCCACGTAGTCGACCATGGTTCGAGTCCTGGACCCGGTGGCTTAAACTCACACTGGGCGCATGTGCGTGCGTGCCCAAGATCCTGAGAGAAGAGTGGAGGAGAAGGGATTGTGGTGTGGCCATCGCCCCTGGGGGGTGATTTCTTGCTTTCTGTCTCTCTGTCTTTCTCTGTCTGTCTAGCAAGTGCACGCGCCCTATAGCAAAAACCTCTCCAAAAAAAGAAAGAAAAAAAATAAAGAACAATATTTTCAAAAAGACTGTAATTATCCTTTTCTTAAAAATGTACATAAATGGCCCCATGAAAATAGGAGAAATATATATTGTTTCAGCAAAGAAATGGACAGAAAACATATTCAATATGTGGACTCAGGAAGGAGAGGGCATGGCAAAGCCAGATATTTTTTTTATCTCCCTAAAGTTTTTTTTAATTAATTAATTAATTAATTAATTTATATATATCCAATCGCATTGTTTAGCTTACAAAGTGAATATTTCAGTATGTGAACATTTCTCCCCAGTCCAGTTGAGCAAAACATCTTCAACAGATAACACCACACGTCCCCATCCTGTCAATGCTCTGTCTCTGTATCCCTCCTCCAATGTCCTTCCCAGGTCCCACTCCTCCACACACACCACATCTGGCATTCACACCCACCTCT